ATATCATGAAAAAATTAAAATTGAATTTTTCTCATCAACGGAGTATTCTTATTCAGAATGTATGAAATGTTCTCATCGAAATTTCAAAATATTCTGTTATACATGGAGCTAAAACTCAAATATCCTTCATAATACTGATAAAAATTTACCTGCTAATAAGCAATCTCAAATTTTTTAATGTTTTATCTTGCTCTCATATGTTATCGTCAAAACAAAATCACTGAAATAATCAATTTTAGGAACCTAGCATTTCTATTCGAGTGAGTACTGGTCTTCATTCGAAATACATTTCATTTATTTTTATTTAACTAGGAAAGAAAATAAATTAAAATAATAGCATCAGTTAAAATAAAAATTTTTAGCTAATGAATTTAGAAAATTAAGTAAAACAAATTTCTTTACAACAATGTAGAGCAACTAAGTACTACAACAAAGTTATGAACTAGAAATCTTCTAAAAGGAAGATGTAAAATAAGCAGAAACAAAATTTCTACCATAAGGCAACCGTGCAGTATGCGATACTGTTTAGAGAAAGACAAAATAGTTTCAATGCAATCTCTATATTCAACACTAGCTATAAAGCTCTGAGCAGAAGATTGGTCTGATAGTGAGTTCTTGCGTATCTTCGTTTGAATTTCGGATGCGCACTAATTAATCACAAGAAAAAGTGTATATCACAATATTGTCAATATATTATCGGATATTGATCGAAGATAAACAGTGATCAGTCATTCTATTGTTGCTGATACCAACATCTTATGAATACGTGTCAAACAAGCGTAGTCACTCTATTGTATCGACAGTCTAGTGTATAATATTGTAGTTTTAAAGTTCCCTCGACTATTGGGAGGCTTATATAGAATAAAATGCGTTTGTAAGTATATGTATGTCTCAAGGTCAAAAAAACATCAGAAATGAGCTTTTTTTGTTCCCTCGACTGTAAGGAGGGTCTTATGAAAAAAAAAATGCGTTTGTGTGAATGTGCGTATGTGTCAGGGTCAAAAAAACATATATGAGAGGTTAGCTTATTTTTAGGCTTTTCAGTCTTTTGATCAAACTTTGGTATAGGTTATTGGGAACCGGGAATTCGAATCCGCTATCGGTTTTCCGATCCGAGCTTCCATTGGTCAGAAACTGGACCGATGAAAAACGAGATTTTTTATGTTAAGGCCTTTCTGTCTTTTGATGAAACTTTGGTATAGGCTATTCACTGAAAAAAAAAGGTACCGTACGGAACCTAAAAGGGTTCCGAGATTTGCAACGAATTCGAAACTATTTTAGGTTTCGTATAAATCGGGTTCTGTACGAAACCCTTATTGGAAACGCCAACATAGGGTTTCGTACACTACTCTTTCTACTCAATGTAATAAATTATTCACAAACTTTGCCCACCCAGTTTTGAACCACATCACTAACAATACTTTTACAATGATTCATTAAAAATAACACATAACACAACCACACGTCTCCATTAACTACTGTTAACCGTACATGATATGAATCACACCACAACTACATAGATATCCATACCATGTCAGCAACGCTACCGTCAGTAAGGATGCCAATAATTCCACCAACAGAAATAAAATCTCATATCATTCCCGTTCCATACCCGAGGGCCACCTCCTAACTTCTTAAGCATTACAAGACTAACTATCATTCTCATATCTATTTAAAACTAGTGTAGGCAAGTACACGATTCCACTTATCTGAATATGAATTGAAAGTGATAATTTAACAGATACTTACCTCATCGTCGACGCCTTCTGCAGATCCGAATAACACTTTTAACGTGAATTTGGAATGAAACCGTCCCACACCATCGATCTCTTGAACTGATCTAAATACAAAATAAAATCATATTTGAAATATAGCATACCTTGTCGTTGCTTGTTTCGATTGATCTAATTACAAAATTCAATTACAATTTAACATAAAAACTTAAATAAGTATTCCTTTGATTAGTTGATCTAAATATAAAATAAAAATTGTGAATAAAATATGACTTCCTTAAGTGTTGCTTGCTTTGATTAATCTAAATAGAGGATTCAAAGACAATTAGAAATAAAAAGTGTATCGCATTATTGGTGTGGTTATTTGATCTAAATATAAAACAAGAATCTTATTAGAAATATAACTTACACAACCATTCGTCGTTTTGATTGATCTAAATACAAAAATGAATGAGAATTTGAAACAAAGTTTGCCTTAGTATTGCTCTGATTAGTGTATCTAAATATAGAGTAAGAATCATATTTAATATATGACTTACCTAAGCGTTGCTTGTTTCGATTGCTCTAAATACAAAACTGAATTAGAATTTGAAATGAAAATTCGCGTAAGTATTCAACTGGCCGGTTAATCTAAATATAAAAAAAATCATATTTATAATATGACTTGCCTTACTCTTCCTCGCATCGATTGATCTAAATAGAAAATGAAATTGAACATTGGAATGAAAGCTCAATCAAGTGTTGAAATAGTAAATCAATCTAAATATAAAATAAAATAAAATTGGTAATATAACTTACAAACAGTTGTATATTTCAATTGTTTTAAATACAAAATTAAATCACAATTCGAAATAAATATTTACTTAATTATTGTTATGGTTATTTGATCGAAATATAGGATAAAATCATCTTGGAAATATAACTTTCTCTCCGTTCATTATTTCGATTGATCTAAATAGAAAATTAAATTAGAATTAGACATGAAAATAAACCGAAGTATTCAACTGATCAGTCGATCTAAATATAAAATAAAACCATGTTTCAAATATAACTTACTAATCCTGCCTTGTTTCGATTGATCTAAATAGAATATTATATTAAAAACAGAATCGAAAATCTCTGAAGTATTTAGCTGGTTTCTTGATCTAAATATAAAAGGAAATCATATTTTAAATATAAGTTACTTAACTATTTCTCTTGTCGATTGGTCAAAAAATAGAATTAAATTACAATTTGAAATAAAAACTCACATAAGTGTTGAACTGATGAGTCAATCTAAATATAAAATATAATCTTATTTCAAATTTAACTTACTGACCGCTATTTGCTTCGAATGATCTAAATAGCAAATAAAATCGGAGTTAGAAATGAAAATTCTATCAATTATTGAACTGGTTAGTTGATCTAAATATAAAATAGAATTTTGTTTCAAATATAGCTTGCCTAACTATTTCTCGCTTGGATTGATCTAAATAGAAAAATAAATAGAATTTTGAAATCAAAATTTGCCTGGTTATTCATTTGGTTAGTTGATATAATTGTAAAATAGGAATTATATTTGAAATATAACTTAACCAGCGCTGCCTTTTTCGATCGATCTAAATAGGAAATTAAAGTAAGATAAGAAATCACAATCTCTGAAGTATTTTAGTGGTTCGTTTATTTAAATATAAAATAAAATTATATTTGAAATATGAGTTGCTAATCGTTGCTCGTTTGAATCGATCTAAATCTAAATTTAAATTAGAAATGAAAATTCAGCTAAATATTGAACTGCTCAGTCTATCTAGATAGCAAATAAAAATTGAATTTTTCGAAAGAGAGTTGTGTTTTGGATGGTAGAAAATGATGTGATAGCTGTATTGAATGGTATTTATTTATGTGTATTTGGATGAAAGTTTTTACAACATTTTGAGATATATATGGTTTCTTTTTATTGGTTCGAGAAAAGCAAACATTGATCACAATGAATAAAAATAAAAACAATATGGTCTATAACGAGATGTACGAGGAGTTGCTTATGGAAACATCTTCTCCTAATATTTAAATAAAGTATGGAAAATTATTTTAGATGTAAAAAACTCAATAGTTGTTTCTTTATGCATGAATAAAAAGAAACTGTTAATATTTTTTTTTGTTTTTGATCGTTTTAAGCGTGACGCAATTTTGTTTTCCGGATTAGCACGACGTTTTCGCGACAGAAAACTGAGTTCTTGCTTGTTGCTGGATGATAAATCACTTGATTTTAATGGTATTGGTGGTGTTGCATTTAATCGACATTCACTGTTTTTAATTGAAATTGGTACAGTTAGTGATGTTTCTTTTTCTTCTGGTGTTACTATTTGTATGGCTAATGGTGAATCTATCGATGATGGTGAACTATTTGTTGATGGTATTTGTCTTGCGGATTTGTTCGAAAGTTCATCAGTAACACCATATGTATTATTGATTGTCAGATTTTGTGTAATATCGTCTAGTAATACAAATAAACAGGATGTCCGTAAAGTCATTTAACAAAAAGCAAATTACGTATCTTCGTCTTCTTTCAATCGAATGAACGAATTTTTTTTCTGGTGATAAAGAAAAGTTGTAAGTTTTTATGCATAAATCAGTAACTTATTGGTACACTTGAAATCTAGCATAATCAAATTTAATACAGTATTTGATCTTTTCTCCAAATCTTCGATTAGTAGTCAACACAAAAAAGCACAAAGTTAGCTGAAAAAAATTTTGGTATATTTCATTCTGTACAACTTTCTCCGCTGATCATTTTAGTAAAATAAAATTCAATTTTTACTAATAAATGGGAGCGCTAAGATCAAAACACTGGAAAATATCAAATTGGTAAAGAGCTCATTAGCAATTTGATTAGTTTAGCAAAAAACGACAAATCTTGACAACAACTGATCTATTAATAATTTGGTAAAATTTTTCTGTTTATTCTAAAAAATGTTCAATTAGTTCATTTGATACCAATGACTCTATTATAAATAGTGAAAAGTAAAACTTTGAGAAAGGGTGGATGTGAGTGCTGGTTTAGTTGTTGAGAAAACTGGCTCTCACACACACACACACACACCCAGAATGATAACCGATCTGGACCAACCGGTTTCCATTAGTTGAAAAATATTTTATAGATATGGTATTTTTTTTCTCTGAAAAACATGTTTAAAGCAAGTTTGCGTGCTCTTATTAAAATAATCAGCCAGTGTTATTTCAAGAATTATGTATGTTTATTTCTTTTATTTTTATCGTAGTTGAAACAAGTACCAGTTTTCTTTCTACCTATATTTTCTGTTGGTTATTATGAGACACAGAAATAACGTGACGTTCTTCTCTTTAAACATGTTAGTGCAAAAATAAAAATAATAGTTAAAAAGAGGAGTAGTACTTCGTCGTCTACTATGAGTTCTACTTTTCATTATTATTTTTTTTAAATGAAAATCTATGTTATAAAGAGAAACTGATTATATTTCTCTTTTACTCTATTCTCGATGAGTCTCTCGAGAAATACTAGAGTTATTGGTAAAAAATTGTTGACCTGGTATTAGGTCGACTTTTCTGTATTGTTTGGATGTAGAATATTACTAATTAATGTTGACATATGTAGTTTATATTTTTTTACAGAGATTTTGAATTTTATCTCCATTCTACTGCTTATTCTGTGCTACCTCTTGACTTTATATTGAATAAGAAATCCTTTACGACGTTAATATCATATCGTTTTTTAGAAGTTTACGAATCGACTTTTACAAAAATTTGTGATTTCAAGTCAATGCTTTCTACTTACAATAATTATCTAATGCTAACCCGATTGTTCTGTTGTAATATTGATAGATAGTGAAGAATAGCCCAAACTAAATCAGTAATTTTTACTAATTCTTCTCTCAAAGAGTAAATGGTTCTACTGAGAATAAAGTCTGGCTTTAGCTTTTATTTAACTGCATTATAAAGTTCAGTAAAAATATTTTTTTACATACATTGAAAAAGATATAGTTTTCATGGTTTTGCAGTATCTTTACTTCTATATAATGTTGAATGTAGATATTCTTTTAAATGATCGAATAATGGTAATTGATTAATTTCTATCGAATCAAAATCAAGTTGTTTAAGAATTATTTTCTTGACGGTGAATTTCAATGAAATAATTGATAGATCTGAACGTGAACATGAATATTTCTTGGTACTACTGCAGTTTAGTCACACCCTTACTCTCATTCTGACACTGATTGCTGTACATGCAATGTATCAATCAGTGTGATGGTATGACCAAACTGCTGTAGTACCCATTTCAAAATTGTACACAGTTGTACTTAAAAACTTTCACGGTAATAATGTCATTGTTATTCGTCAAAATGCATCGACTTGGTCATCGATTTTTTTCCTATACATTTTGTTTTCTCTCTGATAAATATAAGAACCAAATTTCTTCAGAAAAAGTTCTTCACATAAACAACACAGTACATATCAAATGTATTAGCTCCGCATATTGTTTTTGTTCATGAGCATATAGATGCTGTTCTCTCCTTCATGACCTAGGTCATCTTATTTTCAACCAATCGCTCATATATAACAAAGAATATGTTCGTCTGTTGCGTCCATTCATAAAGCAATGTTCGACATGTTCGCTTCTTGATGATTTATGTTTTACAATACACATGTGAACATATATAAATGTATTGAAGAATTATTTATCAAAAGCAAAAACAAAAATTAATAAGTAACTGCATATCTTTAATACAGCTGCTGTAAGTGTTTTTTATTATGGCTTATCTTACTATCGGTCCCAATTTCGTTCCTAATCATGCTGCAAGTAAGTTATGAAAAACACAAAAAAAATTATTTCTCATATTGCTAAGTTAATGACAATAGTAATTACGCTTATCTCGTTCCTTTCATATCAAATTTTAGTCATATCAGTGCATTTGTGAGAACAAACATGGATAGAATCATTTCTGCTCACGATCGCATTCATTAGAAATTCATGCTGTCCATAGATCTCCATGCCCTTACACCGAAATCGTATGAAAATGTAAACAGAAATACACATCATAATCTATACAGGAGCTTTAGTTACTTCAACATTTCGAAGCAGCTCGTAAACTTTAATTCCTTGAAATCTGAGGTAAACACGTCTATTAATTTATGTATCGATTAGGGGTTGTTTATGTATATTAATTGAAAAATCAACTAGGTTCGAGAACGTTTATGAGACAAATTATCACAATCAGTTTTTTTATTATACAAATGGTGATGGTATTTTTAACTTGAAAGATACGATGTTGATGTAAACAATAAATGAATAAATACTCATCTTGACAATATCAGTTTGCTTTACATAATAAAATCGACTTTTGATGAATTTAATCTTTTAAGCGAGCATTTTCTACATAAAATGATTTTCACAGGGAATAAGATCGCTTCTATGATATTATATTTTCTAGTATATTAATGATTTTCTGTAATATTTCTCTATGCGTATGCTTTAATAACTTAACTGTCTGATTTTTAATAGATTATTTAATACTGAGGAAGGAGAAAAAGTAATCTCTAAATAACAAAGCAATAAATCTTTTTTTTCAGCTGCTCAGTAACTGCTTTAGGGATGATTCGAAAGGAAACGAAATCTTGATTTTTCGTATATATAAATTAACTAATGTGAACTATCAATATTAAATCTAAATTCTATGGAGACTTGAACAGATTTGAACTTTTAATTCCATTCCACATAATATTTATTTTATGACAACAATCATAACGTGACTGCTTATATAGGAATCGCAATATTCGAAGAAAAACTAACGAATGAACAACTTCAATATTTACATCAATGTAAGTATACATGTTCTATTTTTATGCTTCTTAATATGGAACTTGTTAAACTAGATTATAAAATGAACAAATATGCTGGACCAAAACAAATTCGTCAAATTGCTAAACAATGGAATATTAATGATTTTGATTTTTTTATGGATTTGATAGTTAGTATACTTTCTATTTGTTTAATCGATATTGAAATTTGTTTTGTTTACAGAATTGGTTTTTTGATCAACAATTAGAGGATGTTTACCGCGAACAACGTCGATCTCTAGCATGCACAATGGGAGCTTAGTTTAAATATGAGTTTCTCCTGTGTAACATATTGGATAAATCGTCGTTCTTCGTTAGTTGTAATGTGCACTTTGTTTTCTGCATATAATTTCTGTAGACAATTAGAAAAAATAAATAATTGCTTATTTAGTTAGCTGGTGTACATGTCTCGTGAACAGTACGACTTTTACGTACAGAACAACATTAAAATTGATTGTTCTTAGTTTGGTCATATCAAATTGAGAATAGCTGGCAATAGTTTTATGTATATCATAAATTCACTTGTTTTACGTTCATTGATATTTCTCAATTGGCATACAATTATTGTTTTTTTTCTTTAAAACGCTTGTGACATAAAAAAGTAGTTTGTACCTTAGAAATGTCGTACTCAACTAAGTTTTTTGTATTATACATATATCTAAATCCATAGAATAAGAATACTTATCTCTTGCCTCCGTTATTCTCTGTCTATTGATAAAAGATAAAAACCAATGATTCTTTTATTTAAACGTCAATATACTGTCATCAATCAGATAGAATACGGTAATAATGACAAAAAAAAATAAAATAAAAGGAATATCGACGTCTGATCAAATCAAAATTTAAAACCATATTTAAGTTTATATTTAAGTAAATCAATTTTTTGATCAATTAATTCAATTTCTTTCTGTTTGACTCGAATTTCCAGTTCTTTTAACCATACCACCTGAGGTATATTAAGATTAATTTGAGAATCATATTGCTGGTATCGAAGCCCATTAACTCCATCAATATCATTTTGTAATGACAATCTTTTATGTACTAATTCAATAATCTGTATAAAAGGGAAAAAATAGAAAACGTTTATTGAATGTCAGTATTACTTGATCAGTATTTTTTTGATGACCATTAAAATGATTTTGAAGATGTTGCATTGTATTGGGTGTGGGTGGATGTGGGTGTGGGGTGTGGGGTGTGGGTGTGTGGGTGTGGGGTGTGGGTGTGGGTATGGGTATGGGTGTGGGTGTGGGTGTGGGTGTAGGTGTGGGTGTGGATGTGGGTATGGGTATGGGTGTGGGTGTTGGTGTAGATGTGAGTATAGTTGTTGACTTAACTCACACCGACACCCAGCCACCCACACCCACGCACCCACACCCTCACTCACACCTACACCCACATCCACACCCACACCCAAACCCACACCCACATTGCTATTAATCGTGAGTTTCTGTGCAAAATATTTCAATATTCACGAGGTTAGTCTTGACTTAGACATAATATGTACAGTACCGATGACAATACAACTAGAAGAGTCGCTCGTAGACGATGAACATAGCAGGGTTCCATTAAATATTCTTCACTTGGAATGTTTGATATAGAATGTTCATTACGAGTAGGTGTGACATATTAGACGTTTGAAACAGTTGAGTTTTCTACTCAG